GATTGACAACACTTATGATTGACAACACTTATGATTGACAACACTTATGATTGACAAATGCAAAGTTTTGGTTGAGGTTTCAAAGCTAAGTATTTGAGAGGATCTGTGTCCCATCAAAAGCTTTGTTGCTGTTAAATATGTAAAGCTGAGTAGTTCTCTGCTACTCTGATATCCCACAGCCACAGTCGATCTCTTTGTTGCCTCTCTTTGTCAGTTTTGGTGGGTAAAATGTGCACGTTTAAAAAAGGTCTATTTTGGGTCCTTTGGGTCCCTGAGTCATTAATTGTTAACAGGTGGCCAATAGTTGTACACATGTTCTCAGAACAACTAAATTAGTTTTTCTTCTGCCTGTCATTTGATTCATGACATTGTGTTGAGTTTTATCATTGTGCATGTGTTGTTGGTACACAAAGTTCATGTGAGCCCAGAATGACCTTGTGGACCCGTGCAGATGACATGTGTTGTGTGTCACGTGTGTAGTTCTTACAACTGAATGACTGGCTGATCATAAATCGGACCTTTCGTCTGAATGTTTAAACAAGTTAGCTTTTTTCAAAGTGTTTACACCATGGTTTCTTTACGAAGAACATGGCAACATGCTTTAGGTTTGGTACATTGAAGTTTACAAACATTTCTGGACTTTATCTTCTTTGGAGGTGTATGAGTGTGTTGAAAGGACATGGAGCTGTTTGGCCAAACTACATCTGCTCGATCACCTCATATGAATTTCCAAGTGTTGGATTGGTACTGTAAGCTCATTTCAGAATCTGGGCACCTTGAGTCATTGAGCCAGTCCTAACCGTCTTGTGTAGCCAGATCTTGTAGTCAAATGTAGGGTGATCTGAAGCTGTAGCTTGGTCGATCTGAGGTTATGCAACAGGACAGTGATCCCAAACACAGCACCAGACTCTACAACAGGCTGCCTTTAAAAAGGAAAAAAGTACCAAGGTGGTGGTGCAGTGGTTTAGTCCTGACCTCACGCAGATTGAATTGCAGTGGTGGGACCTTAAGAGAGCTGTGCAGAAATGAACTGTCAAGTTATGACATGGTGTACGTAATACGTGTTTAACTCAACTCATTGTGCTTTTGTTCTCTTGAATCTCCTAAAACAAGTTGTCTGTAACGAACTGCACACTTTCATGAGAGAATTCCTTTAGATCTTCATCATTACACGCTCTCTGTTCATTTCTTAAACTTTGTCAAGTGGGGCCTAAAAACCGGTGTCACCGTTGACATTGAAGTGCCTTTAAAACAAAAATGTGATTATGGTTGTCCCGTCATCAACTGATGACAAATTTAGAGCTTATCTTTTCTCTTTCACAATAAAATGAGTGACAAAACTTTTATTTTGAATGTGCTTTCTGTTTTATCTCAGTTTGTAATAATCTCATATTTTCAATAAAACGGCAGGCTCTGTTAATGGCATTGCGCTGTTGCCTTTTGATCTCAACATTATTGTCCCAGTCACGTATCAATATTAAGTATTTTCAGCAAATGTCTAGTATTGCTAATAGTTTTTTTAAATAGGATCTGACATGTTTGTGTACTTGAACAGATGCAGATGGTGAAGGCAATTGGAACAATTCACAAGGTGTGTTTGCGTACTAGGCTGAAAGATACGAGTCATTTTAAAAGCCATAACTACTTAGAAAAAGATCTCCATTATGTCCCAGAAAATAAAACACTTTTACCAAGTTGTTTGGATGTTGTGTTGCATGTAACTCACAAACTTGTTCCTTAGCATGTGGAAGTATATGTGAGATATTTGTGTAATACATGTAGTAAACAAGCAATCTGAATAAAAAAAATACTACCATTTTCAGATCCCAATGCCAATTCTAACAAACGCCAGAGGCAGCCAGCACTTCTGGGAGACCACCCACCCGATTATGGTAAACGTCAAACCATTATTTCCTCTCAAATACTAGTTCTACCTTTTAATCTTTAACCTGGAAGTTTTTTCCCCATTTCATTTCTTTGGGGTTTCAGGTGGTCCACAGGGAGGTTATCACGGTTACAATGATGACACCTATGGCCCCCCTCTTTCCCATCGCATGGGACCTGGTATGGGTGGCCGTGGTCGGGGGAGCCAGCGGTATGGGTCTGGTTATGGACCACCCCCTCCTGAGTATGGTCCCCATGCTGACTCTCCAGTTCTTATGGTGTATGGCTTGGAGCCCTCTAAGATTAATGCTGACCGAGTCTTCAACATATTTTGTCTCTATGGCAACGTAGAGAGGGTGAGTAAAATAATGCAAATAATAAAACTAGATTATAGAAATTTGGTGATGTTACTTTGTTGTTATACAAGTAATTGCTGTAACACCTTAATCACGTAGGTTGCATCGGCTTGTCCCTGAAGGTCGTCTGCAGTGCCGTCCTAGTGTGATGCATGGGGTGGGAGACATTGATCATGGCCAACAATTACTTGATGAGCATCCTTTCTCCCACCACCTGCTCTGGGTTAAGGGGGCATCCAAGGACAGAACTGACCTTCGTAATGAGCTTATTCAGTCTGTTCCTCCCTTCTATGGAAATGCTACTATTCCATCATGTTATTTTGTAGTAAACGACCTACATCATATCAAAATTGCTGAAACTTTTCACGAGTGCTTTTCCAAAATGTCGGGACTCTTCTCGATAGGTGAAGTATACTTTACCACTTCCTATAAAGTGCATCAGCGTTTGACGTTCTGTTTATTGTTCAGGTGAACATCCAGGTGTTCTCAAGAAGAGTCCACCATCTGTGTCTGTTCTCTGGATGTTCACTGGCCTTAGTGGGGTGGTATGTGAAAATCCACCTCCCGTTCTGTGGTCTTCCCCAATTGTTTGTTTAAAGCAGGCCTTCTCAAATAGTGGGGCGCACCCCCCTGGGGGGGGCCCGGGGCAATGCCAGGGGGGCGCATGTGACCCCGGGGAACATGCTTTTTTTGCTGCAGGGAGTAGGGTTTTTTTTTTTTCCACCAATCTCATTTTGTCACGTGCGTTGCAGCAACTGTTTGCTCGTATCTCTCAGGCTTACTAATAAAGTTATGAACAAATTAGGGCTTTAACAGAATACTCCAGTAATCTACACATCGACTCCTAGGACATCTGTCGAGTTTTAAAATTCCACATCGACTATTCGTGGCGGCGTCATTACGGCGCCGTTACGTCGTTGTGTCACGTGATCCGCACCGGGCGCGGGTTACAAAATGGATTCCTCCCAGCAGACGGACGGAGCGGAGCAGGTCCAGTCTTGACAAACAGGTAGAACTGCATCAGTAGTCTGGAAATATTTCACTAAAGATGAATCTTCTGGTTCAACTACCGTAAGGAAACAGGAGATGAATCGACTTCCTGACTGTTTGGAGCTCCTTGTGAACCGGTGTTACACCATATTCTGTGACCACCGTATATTGTGACCGTAGGGGGCGGTGCTGCATGCACTGTTGCAGGTCACAGAATATGGTGTAACACCAGGTCCAGTCGACTGAACCAGAACCAGCTTCTCTGACCTTGTTTCACAAACTAAAAGCAAAGAATATTGAACTATAAAAACCTATAAACATATTAATCTGTAAAACTAAACCTAATGCACCACAGCTGCTGGTGGTGCTGGGTGGTCGACCCCCCACTGGTTTGAGTTTTGTTTTTGACGTGCCGCACGTTTCTTTCACTTTTGCAGCTTAATAATAATAAAACTAATAGTTAAGTTTTTCCTGTGACTTATTTTCAGTTTGATAAATGGGAGGAGCAAAATATCTGCTCCCAATGTTTTGTTGGTCTTTTTTGTAAATAATGACCTTTTTTGCAGTTTTATTTATTTATTTATTTTTGTATCTTTAGATCCGATGAGGTCATCAAGCACTCGAGTTTTATTATGTTAATGTCGAGTTTTATTATGTTAATGTTGAG